AGACTTTTTCAAGGACCTTTTTGCGTCCCATATACCGGATGTTGGAAGTGCAACTCATCATCAGAGGATAAATGATTTTCTAGAACCACTGAACAGGAAGCTGACTCAAGAGCAACACACTCTCCTGGAGGCTCCCCTTTCCAAGCAAAAGGTTTGGGCAACCCTGCTGGAAATGGACGAGGAAAAATCACTTGGTATTGACGGGTTTCCCAAAGAGTTTTGGAAAACCTCCTGGGACTTTTTGGGAAACGACATCATGGAATTCTACGAAGAAGTTTGGCGTACTGGCGATATGGGTGAAATCGTTGGCCAGAGCGTGCTATCGCTGCTATACAAAAAAGGGGATAAAATGGACATCTTACGCTACTGACAGTGGTATACAAAATGTTGGCCAAAGCTCTGGCCAATTGGATGATCCCAACGATGAAAGATATAATCCACCCGGACCAGACTGCCTTCATGCAGAACCGCAACATACAGGAAAACATTTTGCTGGTGCATGAAGTCCTGCAGCTATCTCAACGCCAGGGACGGAACGCAGCCTTGGTGTTTATAGACTTTGAGAAAACCTAAGATCACATGGATTGGCTGTTCCTGGACAAATGCTTAGAAAGAATGAATTTTGGTCCGAGCTTCAGAACTTGGGTAAAAATACTTCACTAAAACGCAACAACCAAAGTACAGTTAAACGACTCCCTGGCATCCGCCATCAGGCTAGAGCGGTCGGTCCGCCAGGGCGACCTCATTGCCCCGCTTGTATTTCTAGTCATCATTGAGGCCTTGACTGCTAACCTACGAGCTAATAAGGACATATCTAGGATTAAAATTGCCAACATCCCAGAGGAGGCAGTTCCTGTATGCTCACTGTTCGCCGACGACTTTACGGTTCTGATGGACTCGGAAGGCAACCCAACAATGCATAGGTTCGCGAGAGTCTCGGACATGACAGTTAATTAGGGCAGCAAAACACAGGGATGGTGGATTCACTATCAAGAGGGCCATCCACCAGAATACCCGCCTGTGAAACGGTTACTATTGGAGGCCCCCCTGAGGATCCTGGGGTTACTAATGACAGCTAAGGGGTGCCCGGCCACCAACGATGAATGGGTCAGCACACCGGCTCTGAACAAAATGAAGGCATGGAAGGATAAACCCACTTCTCTCTTCGGCAGAACATTGATTATCAACAATGTTGCCTTCGCATCCATATGGTACAAATCCTTACTGTGGCCCTTAAGTAAAACGGCTGCGAACAACCTAAAAAGGAAAGCCGCAGCCTTCCTCTGGCGTGAAGACTGTGATAGAACCAATGTCATCAGTCGCGTAGCTTGGGATTCCGTGACCCAGCCAAAAAGCCAGGGGGGTCTGGGGTTAATCGACCCAATAATCCAAACACAGGCACTACAGGTACAATGGATAAAATGGATTTTGTTTAGTCTAGAGTGCCCTTGGGTACCCCTGGCTTTGGAACTTTTGGCCGACTTAGCCCCTACAACCACCTCAGACATACACCCCACGACATGGCTAGAGGACCGTTTTTGGGTCCTGCCATGGCAGCACCGCCGCATGCTGGGAGAGGAGTGACAAGGGCTGCAGTCGGACAACTTTTGGTCGGGCCTTCTGAAAACCTGGCGCAAGTTGCCACTTCCAAACAAACCCCCCTCGGACCGATGGGAAGAGGTCTGCAGGCAACCACTTTTTGGAAACCGATGGCTCACAGATTCCCAAGGCTGGATCAGGAACAACTCCTTGGCACCATGAAAAACCTGGGTCAAGAGAGGAATAATGAGGGTCAAGGATTTGTGGGACAGTGACAGAAAAAGCTGGAAAACTGTGGAACAATTAAGAGAGTCCCTCCGATACTGCCATCACATCGAGCAACACGCAGATGCATTGATCGAAACAATCCCCCTGGTTTGGTACATAATCCTGAGGAAGGGGCCTACCATTCAAGAAGGAGATTAGGTTGCAGAGAGAGAGGACCTGAACCGGGTGGGTCGTATCCACAACTCAGACTCAAAAAAAGCTCTGTTGGAATTCTATGACATTACGAGAGCTGGAAGACTGCAAGGCAGCCGAGTTCCTTTCATATGGAAGGACCAGGAATCCCTATTTCGAATCAGAGTTCAGGAGGACAGGGAAGACTACACGGCCTTTCAGCCGCGGACGAGCATTCACGAGCTGGTCTTTGACCTGCTGGAATGGCAGTGGGAAACTTCCCAAAAGCCTACTAGCCCCCGTTTCTCCAATCACATTACAATTCATAAATTGACAGTTAAATCCATGTATAGGTTGATGCGCCCTAAGCGTAATCTGAGGGATGTAATCATCAGCCGATGGGCCAAGCACTTGAACGTGGATCGCAGCCAGCTTGAGCCGATAAAATGGTTTCAGGATCGGAAGTTCAAACCAACGAAAGTTACATCGCTGCAATGGCAGATAGCGCACCGCTACCTGCCAACCAACGACTGGCTGATCGACCATACCAATTTGGAACAAAAAGGGCTGGCGTCCCCCTGGTGCTTGCGATGCCTCAGACACTTCCCACACCACGAGAAGGCGGAGACAATAGAGCACATTTTTATGCAATGCCCGCTTGCACAATTTACGTGGAGATGGTGGGATAGGGTGTGGAGAAAGATGGGAATGCCGATTCCCTGGCCATGGTCCTGGCAGACGATTTTGGTAGGCCACTGGACAGACCAAGAGGTCTCAGACTTCGGGGAAAACATGTACAGATTGGGAAGGCATGCGGTACTATGGGCATTATGGTGGCAGCGGTGCCTTTAACTGACATTTCGTTAAAACTGACATTTTTTTCTAAAATCGCGAAATTGAATCAAGTGAGAAATGTACAGAATTTTCACCCAAAATCGTGACTTCTGGCTTTATATGTAGACCATGGTAGGTTGTAGTCGTATGGTACCACATGGACCATATATGGTAGGTGAACTATCATGTACCATACACCATTAGAGGTACATCATGCAGCATACATCATACATATGCACATCATACCGCATACACCATACATATGCACATCATACCGCATACACCATACATATGCACATCATACCGCATACACCATACATATGCTTATGGTATATGATACATTCTTCTCTCCACATAGACCATACATATCCAGACCTCACATAGACCATACATATGCAGACCTCACATTGACCTCTACATGTTGTCTGACTACGTAGAAGTTTCATGTTTGCGTCGCTGTATTTGCGATCTGTCGGTTAGAGCATTTCATATTGTACATAACATTGTACATTTGCAAGCTGTCATAAGTGACTTGCAACCGAACAATTCAATGACTGCCACCTTTCAACCGCTTCAATCTCCTCTACAATGTGTCATATGTTACACATCCTCTCTAGTTGTTACTGAGTCTAGTGCGATCCGTCGTCTAATGCGTTGGATATCGTGCATATCAAATTCGAATGGTGGCAAACGACCTTTTGCCAAAAGAGATGCGTATGCTAGCACAAATACTCCACACTGATGAATGTCTTTCTGTTTCGGGATACCAACCACCTCTAATACCTTCTTGAAAYGTCTAGTGTTGACTTGCTTTCCTTGTTGTGTTGATCGATCGTACACGTACCTCGCGAAGTTATTGACTACCTTTTTTGCAACGTCAGAGTTTGGTTCCATCGAATTGTAGTACTCTATAACTTTGCGTCGAAGGTCTACTGCAACAAGTGTCCAATGCTTTTCATGAATGTTATGGTATGGGGCTAAAATCAAGTCTGTATCTGCGATCAATACGTCTTTGAACCATTTAGTTACTTTGTCATAGTGATATCCGAAGTTGTCATCCATGAGCTTGACCAAAAAGAAAGAGTTACATACAGTTGTTCGCGGAATCAAACCCTTTACGTACTTCGCGGACATGTTAGATTGCGTATCGCACTGTCGATGGGAAGTCCTACACATGTTGTTAACCTTTATCATATTGCTGTAGAAGTTTATAATGTCATCGTTTAACCATCGTGTGCCACTCATTAGGAACCTCATATCGTGGACCGTAAATGTTAACTCCTCTCGCGTAGCTGGATTCTTGGTGCTTGATAGTGTTTTGTAATTGTTGAACTTATTTTCCCATTGCTGCAATGCATCTTCTTCCGACTCGGTGATAGCATCCGTTGCTAATTGAATAGTCCACCCGTATTTACATCGGCGTTTGCCTTGGACGTGTAGCAATGTCCCAAGTTCACACCACAATGGGATTGCTTGTTGTTAAAATGTGAAGTCATTGCATTATCAATTACGTGTTCGTGTTCGTGTGTGTGTGTGTGTGTGTGTGTGGGAGAGAGAGAGAGATAGATAGAGAGAGAGAGAGAGAGAGAGAGAGAGAGAGAGAGAGAGAGAGAGAGAGAGAGAGAGAGAGAGAGAGAGAGAGA